TCACATGGCCGGCAAGCCACTCCCACAAAGCAGGCCACACCTACAGAAGAGGTTCTAAAATAATTTGAAACCCACCACTGAAACCAATAGTCTAAAAAATAGATTGTAGACTCACCTTGATCCAGCTGCAAAAGGAATAAAGGCATGAGAATGTCTTTTAGAGGTGTTCTCTGATGAAAACCTCATAGGATCAAACTCCTGGAATAAACAAACCAATGAAAATTGGAGAGAGAAAAAAGTGAATCTGCTATGCTTACAACCCTTTTTCTCATTACAGTACTTGTGCTATTACAAAGCTATTGAAGCATCTCAGAATCACTTTATGCTTTGCTCTGAAAATATAGTGAGTCAATAAAATTGATAAATGGGGATTATCTCTACTACAGAGAATCTGTGTACTTATAAAAGTCTCGATTAAGTGTGACAAATTTTATTTATTTATAACCCTTTATCACTGTCATCATTTCATTAAAAAAAAAACTACTTACCAAAGGATCTGGCCAAATGCTGGAGTTTTTATGAAGAGAATAAATGTCAACTGCAACTATAATATCTGTAAAATAAAGAACCAGAGAAGACAGCAATTAAAACATTCTCAGTGGTTGAAACAAGATCAAAAGACAGGATGAGAAGAATTCTGCAGCCAGTTCCACCCAGCCAGAAAGGTTTGGCGTTTACATTTTTCAAGCAAAATGTTCCTAGGCAAATTGCTCAAATTTTTATTAATTTATTACCTGTTCAATGGATTTGTCTTGTGTTATGGTAGATAGATAATCCTACATATAGAAGTATAAATATCTATACCAGTGATGGCGAACCTTTTTTGGCTTGCATGCCATAAGGGGAGAGCGCAGGAGGGTCGTACGCTGGTGTGCCCCACCCATAGTGCAACGCACAATCCCCCCCCCCAGTGCACATGCGCTTCAGGGACCTTCAGGAGGCTTCCCTGAAGCCTCCGGAGGGCAAAAAATGACCCTATGAGAAAGCCAGAAGTCACTTCTGGTTTGCTCGTAGGATCAGTTTAAGCCCTCCGGAAGCTTCAGGGACCTTCAGGAGACTTCCCTGAAGCCTCTGGAGGAGTTTGCTCGTAGGGCTGTTTTTAGTCCTCCGGAGGCTTCAGGGAACAATATAGATGTGGTTTGCCACAGTTTTGTTCTAGGATATTTTGTCAAGTTAAACTGTAGCCCCAAATTTCCTAATAATCTCTTATCCAAGAACTCTCATCCAAGATTTTACTTTGCTTAGGCCTTGGCAGTTTGCTTTGCAAGCTTCCAATTAATTATTATCTACCGTGTTTTCTAGAAAATAAGACAGTGTCTTATTTTCTTTTGCTCTCCAAAATAAGCACTTGGCCTTATTTTTGGGGAGGTCTTATTATTTTTGAGGTCCAGGAGGTGGCTAGTGTGGTCACCTTGTGGCTGCTGTTGTGTTGCAATATTTTTTGGGGGGATGGCTTACTTTTAGGGGAGGGCTTATTTTAGTGCATGCGCTCAAAAGCCTGGTTGGTCTTATTATCCAGGGAGGTCTTATTTTTGGGAAAACAGGGTAATGCCTAAAAATTGGCTTCTTGGAACAAAGATGTCAGAGAACTTCAATTAATTCAGAATGGTTGAAATTAGTGTTTTTAATAATTTTGTTAAAATGGCAATTGCTTATTCTAACTAGAATAAGTTAGATGTACTATCAGTATAGTTTTATAGACATAATGTAATATTTAATTTATATAATTTCAGAACTCTTGGTCTAATTTTGGACTATTTTGAAGAGGTTTAAATAGGCAAAGAATATTAGCCAATCAGAATAGAGTTGGATGGGACCTTTGAGGTCTTCTAGTCCAACCCCTGGTTCAAGCAGGAGACCCTATACCCTTTCAGACAAGTAATTGTCTAGACTCTTCTTAAAAGCCTCCAGTGATGAAGCACCCACAACTTCTGACAGCAAGCTGTTCCACTGGTTAATTGTTCTCACTCTTAGGAAGTTTCTCTTTAATTCCAGGTTGTTTCTCTCCTCCAGTTCCATTGTTTCCATAGTTTCCTGTCCTGCCCTCAGGTTCTTTAAAAAATAAGTTGACCCTCTCCATTTTGTGGCAGCCTTTCAAATACTGGAATACTGCTTTCATATCTTCCTCCCCGCCAGTCCTTTTTTTTTCTCTAGACTAGCCAAACCCAAATCCTGCAACCATTCTTCATATGTTTTTGTCTCCAGGCCTTTAATCATCTTAGTTGCTTTTCTCTGCACTTTTTCCAAAGTTTACATTCAAGCAAATTCTAAATAGTAACTATCATGGGCTGATTTGCATTTTACTACAGTATACCAGAGATGGTATTCAGCCAGTTCTGACAGGTTCTGGAGAACTGGTAGCGGAAATTTTAAGTAGATCGGAGAACCGGCAAATAGGCTGGTCCCGCCCCTACTGCTTCCCAGCCTCTCAGCCAATCTTCTTTTGTTGCCCTGAACAGGAGAACAGAGCTGGAAAGCAGGTTAGTGGCGTGGGGAGGGAATGGGGATTTTGTAGTAACCTTCCCCTGCCACACCCATAAAGCCACACCATGCCCACAAAGCCATATCCACAGAACCGGCAGTAAAAAAATTGAATCCCATCACTGCAATATACAGTATGAATGAATTAAAATTTATTAACTGTGTCTCCTAGAAGGCAAAGGGGGAAGATTGGAAGGGAAGATTTCAAATCAGAGTGTGTCGAACATTTTATCATTATTACTGTGATTTTGCCCTTTTCCAACTGTATTTATATTGAAAGCTTAGACATCATCCAACATTGAACAGCACATAATGGAATGAAACATTAAAAACATTTTTTAAATAAAAAAATTGCAAACCTTCAGGCAAAGTGCGTCCATCAAAGAAAGTAATAGGTTTGCTGAGCTTTCGGGACACCACTGGAACTGGAGGGTATACACGGAGACTCTCTTTTATGCACATTGTGGTATAGGTCATCTTACCAAGATCATCCCTGAAAGTTATAAAGAAAAATCAATTAACCTTTTTATTAGTAAAATGCTAGGTGCCAAAGAAGGGAGCTTTGGAATCAGCTGGAACTCAATCAAGCAAATTTATTATTTACTTACACTTAACATTGGCCCCAATATCTCATGGTATCACCTTTTTAATTCCACCTGTGACATTGCCTTCATCTCATCCCAAGGGCATGAATGAGACAAGTTTAACTTATTCTTAACTGCAATGATATAAAGTACTATTCCTCCTTCTCTCCCACCACTGCCATTCTACACCATCCAAGGAAAGTTTCGATGTGCACCAAAGATACTAGGTTTTGTCTTTTGGTAGGTAACTGCAAGGAGTGGAAGTAAGAATTCACAATGGAACATATGCTAGTTTTGTGGCTGCTCAGGAAATAGTCAGGCATGGGAAGAGTTTTGTGACTCCCAGTGTTTTCTTTTCTGTGGGAAATGGGTCCAAATGGCTCTTTGAGGGTTTAAAATTGCTGACCCCTGGGTTAGAGTCTTGGTAGTTCCTGCTATCATCATCTATCTTCCCAGAGCATCTAGCCTGACCCTGTGGGAGAAAGCTAAGGCTTACACAACCCAACCTGCCTTTCTGGAAACTAAAAGGTCAAACTAATTTCTATAATGCCACTTCTTAGAAGAGTAACAAAAGTTATAAAGAAGAATAGCATAAACAGTCAGTCCTTCCTTGGGAGAATGGGAAATGGACCAGTCTCACTGCAGAAAGTAAGGAAGACGACCTTGATGGAAGTATACAAACCTTGTTGCCCAGAGAAAAAGGGCTGAAGTAAGTGCAGGATGTCCAGATAATATTTAAAAGTGGATCAGACACCCACCTAATTCACTGAACTATAAGGAGGAAGAAAAGGTACAATGCAATCTTTAAACTTCTGAATATTTTAAATTTAAAATTGCTAATTTTAATATGTTTGCCTGAAACATATTCTCATTGAATCATAATCACCTAATTATGACTGTGTTATGTTTTGTGTTCAGGTATCATATTGTATCCAATTGTTTTCATCTTTTCTACATATCTTATAACACTCTAAATAAATGATTTGGTGTATAAAATCAGTATGCAAATTGAGCTGCTACCTAGCATTTAAGAGAGTACTATGTGTAGCAAGCCTTTTATTCTCTTGCAAGAATAATAGTCTGAACTCTAAGATACTAATAGTCTATTTTTTATTGGGAAAAAATAGAATTGGGAGCTTTAATTGAGGATGAACAAGTAGATGGGCAATTTTCCTCCCTACGACCTCCACCTCCAGCTGTTCTTTCCTCAGTAGGTTTAAGGAAATAGGGTGCAGAAGAAGTTTTGCAGTAGACAGACAGCAAGATGTAGCAGTATCCTTCCTAATCCTAAACTCGCACAATGGAATGGAAATAATAATGTCTATTGCAGCACATTGCCATAGATAATGATCACACTGACTGACAGTGATACTACAGTATAGGTAATCCTGTGGGTCTAAACATAACATAAAGAACCATGTTGGTGGTTGTCCTTCCCTCTGCTTCCTCTTGATTCAAAAAGACAGAATATGGTGATATCAGAGAAAGGATTAAACATCCCATCTAACCAATTCATCCTCCTGGCAGCCTCCAAGTGTTCTGATTTTTGTTTGCTTAAAAATGCTTTCTAAATGGATATCGTGTAGTGTTATGCTTAAATCAAGTCACCAATGAAAAAAAATCTAAAGCAAACAATACTGTATTCACCACTGGATGTCTTCCCGATCCCCCAAGATTTCCTTGACTTCTTCTCTGCATTTCTGCTGATGTTCTGGGTGCTTAGCCATTATATACAGTAGCCAAGAGATGCCAGTGGCTGTTGTATCATGGCCTGCAAACATGAAAGTGTCCACTTCAGCACGGAGGTCTTCATCAGATAGTCCAGTTCCATCTTCATACTGATAAACAGAGAAGGACAATCAGCAAGGGGCACCTTCAATGAGCATTCATTTAGAGAAAAATAAAATAAAATGAAGTCATCATAAAATCAGACCAAAAACAAAAGTGTTAAAAATGAGTTTTTAATTTATGATATTATTGGACTAGCTGAATACCCATGCTCCACTATGAAACTATGTGATCAGGCTTGATAAATCAACACTTACAGCTTAAAAATTAATGAGTAGTTACGATTGGCCTCTCCTCTCCCCTTCTCTCCCGCAGGCTGGCTCCACAGAAGCCTCTACTATCCCCTTCTCTCCCTCAGGCTTGCCTACAGACACCTCTCCTCTCCTACTCCTTCTCTCCCTCAGGCTCTTCTCCAAGCTCCCAGGCCGCACACGCTGGCCACATCCATGTCCAAGTGGCAGTTGGAACAGAGTTATTTTCAGGTTGGGAGGGGGAGTAGAACATCTAACACCTTAACATCAGAGTGTGTTAATAATAATATAAGAAATACTAATGATTTGATGGTCATTTCAAAAAATCTTTTCTTACCAAGCACCTAGAAGCCAAGAGGAACATACGTGCCAAATTTCAAGTTTGTAGGCTTTATGGTTCTGGAGATTTCGTGATGATGCATGAGTGTATTTCGCTTTTACATATATAGATTCAGATACACTGATATTATTGGGATTTATTATTCTATGGTTTGAACAAAGACAAATAGGGCTCTTCCTTTTGGTTCAGTTAATGTATATTGCTTTAGTCTTTGAAGTGTCAAAAAGCATCCTGACATAAACAGCTATCTTTATTTTACTTTCTTCTCCTGTCTTATCAAAATAATACTACAAATACATCTGATTCATTCAGTGCTACTTTTGCAAGGAACTGTGAGATTTCACCCCACCCCCCCACCATCTATCTTCATTTCTGCAATTGTAAATGACAATAGGGTCTTTTTAAAAAAAATTGTATACCTCAGAGACTCTTTATCCCACCCTGACCAATAAAATGCCATAAAATAGATTGCGTCTCAGCCAAAATGTTGGTAGAAGGAAAACCTTTTTCTCTGCAATTGGTTGGGAATGAAACCAAGGCAACAGTCACATGGGCATGTCCTTCAAAAATGATAAGCTGATTTCCTGATAAGATGGGCAGGACATGACCATTTGCCTTTTATCAGAGGTGGGTTCCTACCAGTTTGGACCGGTTTGACCGAGTAGGTAGTAACTCGGCCTGCCACGCCCTTGAACCAGTTCTATCGGTGGCACCACCATTTTGATTTTTAGTTCTGCGCATGCAGAGAACAATCTTCATTGGGAAAAAAATTTTTTTTTCCTTTTCTAATGTGCGCATGCACAGACCTTTTTATGTACAAATGTACATGTGCACAAAGCGTACATTTGGCATGCACGTGAGCAAAGGGAGTGCATGTGCATGCAAAAAATTTTGCACACCGAACCAGCAGTAATGCCGGTAGCAATAGCAATAGCAATAGCAGTAGACTTATATACCGCTTCATAGGCCTTTCAGGCCTCTCTAAGCGGTTTACAGAG